AGTAAGAATGAGTAAAGTGTTTAAAACTATAGCCTATCATGTTGAAAATGTACGAGGAAAGTCCTCTGATGATTTACCAGGGTAGCCAATTTAACCCCTGTGTAAAAATCTTACATCTGTATAAATGTCAATAAAACAAGTTTTTATTAGAGACGCCATTGAATTGTTTATATTTCAAAAAAACTTAATATATTTCAAACTTGAGATAAAAACTATGTAAAATGTGAATTTTATTTTCGTCTTTGGTTTTTGACTAAATTAAAACTTTAGTTTTGTTCTTTCGATATTAAAATGTAACGTACCACTATCTAGGACTGCGTGGAGTTTTGCATTAATTTAAGGGGTTATTTTTGTTATTTTAGTTGAGTATGAAAAACATTAGAGGAGAGATCCAGATCCAGAAAGTCATTTCATCATGAGCTGCTAATCTTCTCTAAGATACACATTCAACAGCAGGACAGCAGACATACGGCTGTCTGCGTACCTTCGGGTATGGATACTGGTGTCCGCGAGGGTAAAGTGTCCCTGTGAAACGCGGCAGCTGCATGTTGGGCACCAGAGTGTCGTTGATGGTGAGAAATGCCAGACTGGAGCCTGATGGAGACCACCAGTGAGCGGCTGAAGAGTGCAGGATCTGCTCTGATAGACAAGCAGAGAGATTCAGTAAAATAATAACAAAAACATCTGTAATGGCACAGCTTGTGTTGCTCACAGTGTGATGATGGTGTGTTACCCTCATAAAGCCAGTCATTTATTCCATTAAATATGAGGCCATCTCGCCCCGATGACGTCAGTCTGAGAGAACTGCTCTTCACATCTGGCTGATAGTAAATATTATTCTCAAATATGTACACCTGAGACAGAGAGAGAAGGAGCTGAGAGATGCCACACTCGTAGACAAATGTCACACTCAGAAGAGAAAACAAGAATAGAAAGAAAGCTCTGCAGAAGGAGGTCAAAACAGCTGCTAGGATCATGAGCTCACGGCAGTCAGTCATTCAAAGCATTGTGTCGATGCATTGCATAGTCGATATAAAAAACTGGATGA